GTCTTATTGGCAGCTGTTACAAAATGTCTCCAAAGCAACCACTGTTACTGCAGCTTGGCTCTGCACTCAGAAACACCCCGAGTGTCCATTAGCACGTAGCAGACATATGATATCTGACCACATAGATCTGCTGGAGAGAGCAGAGATGAAGGACAAAGGAAAGAGACAGAGAGGGAGAGATGGGGGGGGGGGGGGGTGCCTCGTCAGGAGATGCATCAGCCTTTAGTGGGTTTCTGAGGTTAAATTTATCACAGTCAACGGAGGAGGAAGACACTAATCAATAGCCCCTCTCGGTCTGTCTCCCTCTTCCTTCCCAGCTTTACCTAGCCCTACCCCGGGCTGTCGTTTTCCACCCCCCACCCAAAATGATAAGTGTCTTCATCCACCTAAAAGTGCTAGAGAGGTGGAAAAAGGAAATAGATTAGGGCCCACTGGGGCTGAGTTGACACTGTCTTTGTATGCAGAGTTCTTTTTAAAATGTCTTGCCTCTAAGAGTTCTGTAGTGAACTCCTACCTTTAATATGGAAGTGTGTTGTCAGCACTCACCTGAAGGACATGTCTAAAAATGCAACAAACAGCAAAAATACTAACACATTGATTGATTCCATCAAGGGCCAAGAGTTTGGCTTGCAGATTGACTAAGTGTAGAGGTAGGTTTGAGTGTAACAAGCTTCTTCAAAATCGTTGACTGTTTAATGAAACTGCCACATAGTATCTACATTAATGTTGGTTGATTTCATTGCCGATTCAAAAAGCAGCTGCAATAACATAATTTTCACATTATACGGCTAAACACATCCAGGTGTGACAACTCTTGGTCTAAAGGAAGTTGCAGCAAATTAGCATAGTCTAAACTTTAGACTCTAAAGAATGGAATGGGCAGATGATCTGAGGTGACTTTACAATAGGAGTCAGCCCACAGTGTTCATCAATCACCCAGAAGTGTTTTGTGTCTCCACAACCTGTAATCATAGCTTCATGTTAACTTCTGTATTTGATATTATGGTCAAAACTGAAATATTACACAAAAACAAATTCATAAAACAATTATTTAAAAGAAGGCCTCGAGCAGTAGCTTCACAACAACATGAAGCTATAAGAGTATCATATAACTCTTTCCAAGACAGGAAATAAACACATTTTCTCAAAACTCAGAAGTTTGATGATGTAGATATTGATGTTTCACTGGCATACTTCACTCTCATTATGCTCAATATTTGTTTCATCATATTAGTTACTTTGTGTATGTAGTAAGTCATAAACTGTTTTGTATGGTTTGAGATGATATTGTGTTGCTTTATGAATAAGATACGAAGCAGTTGTGTGGTCAGTGAGCACATCACAATCAGCTGATTGAATGACAAGCACAGCAGCAAACATGATGTACTACTGTTATAGGTTCTTGGTAAACTAAAGGATGCTGCATTATTTAATAGGTCATCCCATGACACTCGTTTTTTCCAAGTACTAAGCAGCTGTCCATCATGTGACTGTGAGTATGGAGAGCTCCTGTCAGCACTTTGATTCTATTTTTGAAAGGCGCTGATACGAGATGACTGGAATTAGCAATAAAATAGAAGTGAGACAGTTAGTCATTCACTCTCAGGGCTGACGCATGTATTTTCAATCATGTCACAACATAGAATACATGACGTTTTTTCACACGAGATCAGAGGGTAATTGGTTACGTCAGCAAAGCTATCTAAATGTGGAATTGTCTCTAGGACAGTAAACTAGTGATGCTTATGGTGAAATACGCAGTTTTATGTTTCGCCTCCTTCAACTGGAAGCCACATAATGCTTCTGCAAATTAAAAAGAAAACTGATATTGTAGCTCTCAGTATCTTCTGTACAGACTTTATAATATCATCTCTCTCTCTCTCTGCCAGGTGTGCATCAGTGTGTGTTCATGCCACGTTTCTCTTCTCCCTACAGAGCCAAACAACCCTCCATGTGTCTACAAGACAGATGTGCAAACCAGATGTTTCTGCACTGAGGGGAAAGGGCTACAGACAGACCTGTTGTATTTGTCAGTGTTTCCTACTTTTGCAGTGTTGTGTGGATAGAGTTTGAATCCAAAAACACCAGAAGCTGTTTGTCAGATGTATGTGTGTTATCACAAATTAAAATACACAATCTCCTTCTAAGTCCGGTCATGTTTCCTAAGACCTGGATCTCATCAGGGACCCGTCCTTTACTGCTGGATTCATTCCCAGCTTTTAAGGTGGAGGAGTGAGGAAGAATTTTCAGGGTGTATGGTTAAGGTTACCTCATGTGGGTTCAGTTCAAAACATGTCTGCTATAACAGCAGGCAGGGAAGTACTTTAGGTTTGCGAAGAACAACTGTTAAAGCCTCAAACAGACTCATCAAGACTACCAAGTAGGCTACAGGTTATATTTTATTCAGAATACCTATTTGTATACACACAAATACAAATGCTGGAATTTGGAGGTGAGTGGCAGCTTGCTCCATTCCCTCCTTTCCTCACTCCATTAACCTCTGAAGAGGCATCCAAGCGAGGATTACGGGCCCTGCTTGCTGTCTAATTTCAGAGATGTTAAATTCACTCTGGGTAATGTGGGATTCACTCGAGAGAGTCATCAAAGTGTTGTAACTGAGCGAACTGAAATCACAAGGAAATTGAACATCACAAACTGAAAATGAGTGTGCTTGAAATTAGTTTAGGGTCTCATCTGGAACTAGACAGGACACAATGATACATTTGACGGAAAAATGCAACCTCCCACTGTTATCAAGATTAGCCATTTAGCCATTCAGTGTCATGTTTTCAGAGGGCTACCTGAGAAAGGATTAAGCATATTGGCCATTGTTTGAGGAGCCACGGAGTAACCACCAATCAATCTTAAAGTAGTTTTTGGGGACATTCTTAAACACAACTAACAGATGTGGAACTCACACAAAAAAAAACGTAGAAAATGTAAAATATTAAACCATAGTTCAACCTCTGAGAAATAGACTACACTTCACATTCTTGCTAGAAGTTAAATGATACCACTCTGCTGTCTGCTAAGCTACAGCCAGCAGCCTGTTAGCCGGTTAGCATACTCGAACAGTGTGAAACAGCTAGCATACCACTAAATAAATTCTGCCTACCAGCGCCTTTAAAGCTTACTAATGACCACATTATATTTAGTTTATTTAATTTGTACAACAACCGCCCAAATGTTAGTCTTTTTAACTGCTTTTAGTTGTTCTTACACTTAGCTAAGCTAACGGACTGCTGGCTTACGCTATCCATATTTGCTGTAGGGTACAGAGTGTCAATCTTCTCATCAAACAATTTAATTATTGGGAAGTTCCTCAGACTGTGTAGACATGGTAGTGATTAACTATGTATATATGAGCTTTTGCACTGGCAGCTTCATCCTATAAGCCTGGGGCTGAAAATTGAATAGAAAAGAACATTAATGCAAATCAAAAAGAGGAAAAAATCTACAAAGCCATTTTTTGGGTTTCTCAGAAGTAAGGGTAAAGATGTATATTTGCATATCCTACAGTAATTCACTAAGCCACTGTTGGTCCTTTCCTAGTTTTTTTTCTCAGAAAATATTTTTCCTGTAAGGGCAAAGAAAGAAACATGCCAGCAGAAACTTGCGTTTTAATTAAAGAAGACTTAAAGAATAGATGAGTTAATGCTCTCGGCCTGTACGTAATTAAGCTTGGCACGCCAGCAAAGATGAGCATTCAAGTATGGATAAAAGGGGCTCTTGACCTCTCTCATTTTCCCTTGTCTAGTCTTAGAAAATGTTTTTCATAATATATGCTGTGCATTGTAGGCTATTGTAAGCGTCTTTTCCACTCTACATATTACATCATCAGAAGTTCATCTGAGGGATTATATTAACATGTCATTTGTAAATCAAAGGCTTCATTAAGTACTAAAAGTATTTTTTAGTGGATATTAGCTAATTAAGTCAACCTCTACTGGAAACAAATATATGATTAGGCCAATAATTTTATGAGAAATGAACAGATGCTGTAAGTAGGATGATTTAACTTAGACAACATGGTCAGATGACCGACGCATATTGAACAAAAGCTTGCCACTCTTCATTATTGTGGCAATTTCCTTCTCCGTCATTTCCGTCAAGTTTTGTTTCCATTCATCACATAATAACGTACTTCATTTATTTCCATAAAGCAATGATTCAGTATTTGTTTCCATAATGCAGTATGTGGTTTTATGTTTGTTATTTTTGTTATTGTCGTTATTTTAAGTACTCTCCCGAGGAAACCAAATAAGTGTACAGTTCCTTTTTTATTAGAAATCAGATATGACAGTCTGTGGTTCAGTTCTGATATGATGGATATGACGACAATCATTTTCATTGGCTGTGTTGCTGAAGTAGGATCCATGTTGTCTAATAAACTGCTAACATCGTTTATGGTCCAGTAGCCTCCTCTGATTTCTAAGTTTTATTTCTAAGTTAGCCTCCTGGGGACTTCCCGGGCTGTCAAAGAGCAGCAGACAGTTTCACAGCGCTACAAGCTGAGTCCTATCAAAGTAATGAACAAGAGGCCAGACTTTTAACCCCTCATAAAGTCAGCACACCAAGGAGTATTCACTCTAATGAGAGGAAGCCGTTAAATCTGCTGGGTCATGTTGCTGACTTCAGCATCAGCTTGGAGTGTGAGGAAAGCTTCAACATGGCCTCAGACTGTGTTGATTAGCACTAGCAATGCCAGTAAGAACATCAAGTAATGAGATTGTAGACATGAGCCAGAAGCCATTGAAATAGTTTTGACAGTGAGAGATTAAAATAACCAAAATGGATAAAGGCAGCTGATGCATGAGACCTTGGTCATAATTAAAAAAGTCCAAGAAGAAAGAAGCTCTTCCACTAATCAATATTTCTCACTAAGCTCCGTAATTTGTAAAGTTATTCAGTTTGACACTTGGCAAACACAGTGAGGGTGGATGGGCTTTCCTCAACAGGAATGAAGCCTCAACATGTGTCACAGAGCAACCCTGTCTTACCTTTCCAAAGTCCCTGACGTCAAAAAGGTCAAAGGCCTCGAACAGCTCGCTTTTCTTCATCCCGAATACGTCACTGCACGCTGCCAGGAAAGTCCTGATGTTCTTCAGGCACAGGAACTGTATTGGGAAGACAGAAAGGGTTCATCTGTGAGCGACAAATGACACTACGTGTTGTTATTTTTCCATTTCATTACCACAGAACTACGTGTGTGTTTTTGAATGGGTTCAGATACTTCTGTTTTTCTGTTCTGCATTGTATAGTAGCTTTCATTCTGGCTGTCTACTAGTGAGGACCTGCGTCACACTTGAGGACCACAGCTATAAGACATAGATGGATCTGTATTTAAAGGCGCCATGAGAGCATGTTGTTTCATTAAATGGATGTATTTCCTGTTGAAATAGGACAGTGGAGTGGTGTGTAATAAAAGAAGAGATAAGTCGAGACAGTAAAGGGAGAGAAAGGCAGAAATCTTATTAATTCCTACTGGTAAAGCAGATTTGTCTTTCTTTCTTTCCTTATATTTTCAGTACAGTGTTAAATATAAAATATATTTATTTTGAAATATAAAAGGGAAGAAAAATAATTGTAGATATAAAAGCTTTCATAATAACTTGAGTTGTCTGTTAGGGTAAAATATGAATCTAAATGTAGCTTGACGTTATGACACTTCCATTTGAGTCATGGTCTCATTTCCATAGAGTGGAAGCTTGTTGCTGACAATAAAAGGGCAGGAAGCTCTTCCTCAGATAATTGTTTATTCACCCTGAGCTTAATTGCAGCTGTGGGTGAACCTTGACCCATGAAGATTAAATCAAATAATCAATAAGTCACTCCTCTAATAAACAAGGTCATTTTCTGACTGTATTTTTCTGCCTTGTCTGCAATCTACATCTTCTGCTAATGATGTTAATGGGGCTTCATCCAGAAACAATTTATCCAAATTATGCTGCAGTTATCTCTGACTGAGGGCTGCCTAACAACACCAATGCAACTGAGAAAACTGGGGGTAAAATCACAGGATTAAATATGGTTTTCTGAGGTGTTACGCCGTCTTTATGTAGTGTGGTAGGCAGAAAGTGCATTGGAGGGAAAGGTGTCAACATAAGGTGGTTTGCTAACGGGTAATATCTCTGACTTACGCCCATTAGCCTTCCTGTAGTTGATACACGATGGAACAAAAATCGTACTGGTGAAAGACATGTTTTATAGTTCTTCATTGTTAAGCACTGTTGTACTCGGTACCATGTTAGAGAGATTAGATGATGCAATGTTTCAAATGTTACCCAAATATTTACAGTAGGTATAGTTCGGCTTTCATTACACATTATAAATGTGGCTTCATGCAATGTGATGCTGGCATGATGACACTGCTTTTGGTCAATATTGACAATGACGGGTACAGAGACAACAGCATAGCCAACACAAAGGCATGCAATGCAAAACCAACTGAGTGGTTGTGGCTTTTTGCATTTGAGCAGTGAGGCGTTAGTGCAGCACCAGTAAAGGGCCTGGCATCTGAACTGAACAACGACAAGTAAAAACACTGAATCTCTGTACATACAAAGGGGGACTCCAACAGTGCCAGAAAAAGAATTGAAAATCAAAGTTATGGTGAAATGTGCAGGGAAGTTGAAATATTATCTGCAACGTGAATACAACAATGGTTCATAAGGCAACATTTTTCAGTTATTTATTTCTCATTATGTCTATAGATTAAAGGGGCCCTGTTATGCTTTCTGTTTCATATTTGTATGTAGTGTTTCTACTGTGACATGTTTCAATGCTTTAATGTTCAAAAAGGTATTTATCTTCCTCATACTGCCTGTGCTTCAGCACCTCTTTCACCCTCTGTCTGAAACCAGAGCCCAGGCTGCTCTGATTGGTTAGCTGGCTGGTCAACCGCGGAGAGATGTCCCGCCCCTTAGCCTATCACGTACAATGTGTTGGAGCGCTAGCCAATAGTGTGTGGGAAAGAAAGTGCGTCTGGAGGGAACTTTGGGATTGTAGCCTTTGCTGACCATTTACATGCACAAAAACACACTACAGGAAAGGGAAAACCCCAAAAGAGCTTAATATGGCCTCTTTTAAATTATATGAATTTACTGCATCTACAGTACATCTTTTACTGTCTAACCCTATTTCAAATTTTCCAGAGATATGTTTCCATATCACAAGGCTTCAACATCATCATTTCCTTCTTCTTTTTTTTCCTCTTGGGTAACAAGTTTACAGGAAATGGATTTCATTAGCCCTTTCCTGTTTCTTAAAAAGAGCATAACCCTTTGCCATACTGTTAATCTGTGGCGTCCAAAAGCCTGACTGTAATCATGTCTGACAACCTAAACTTAACAAGCTTTAATAATTCAGTCAGTGTCATCCTGAAAAACAAACGGCTCTGGAGAAGGAGCCGTCGGACATATTCTGTTATTCATAACACACCTTCGCCCTCGTGGTGCAAAGCAAAATCAGATTTGTCAGTACAGCGCATGTCCCTGCATCAAATATTAAATGCTTCTCCACTCCGATTGAATTATGCTTTACAGATGGATTCACAAAAGAAGGAAAAGCCCCCAACCAGTGAGCTCCAGATAAGAGGCAGCGTGGAGCAGCGAGCAAGTAGAGAGTGGATAATATTGAATGTTTACACTTGTACACATCACTTTCTTTTATCAGACAAGCACTTCTTGTCTGCCTGGAGTCTCTGGAGAGTCCCAGAGAACCTCAGCATATTATCTGAGGGAAGCAGCTCCACAGAGCGCATATGAGAGACAGTGTCTCTGCTACACTGAGCTGAAGACAGTACAGGGGGGGATTGTATTAACAAGAGTGTAGCAGCATGAGGCAACCAGTGACTGTTCAGCTTTTCTTCTGCAGTAGTTACTCTCTGGGGCTCAGGAAGTCAATGGCCTCATGTGTTTGGGCATGTGTAAGTGTGTGTTTGTTTGCACATCTGTATCGGCTTGCACACCTAAACAAAGACTTATGTTTAGGTGTTTTTGCTATTCTATACATGCTCATTTGTGAATTATTCAAGAATTAATTAGAATTTTGCCTTGGAATTATTATCATCACTGATACACAGAATTATTTGGCCTATGGTGTACGCTGGGGTGTAACAAACAAACATTGTAGTACAGAAAAAAACGATAGAATAATGACAAGAAAATTAAGAAACGACTTTCCAATTAAATCGTTTTTTCTACAAGCAGTCACAAGCCCCCATCCCACTACTAAATATAAGAAATGTAATTAAACAAATGCAGGTGGTCCTATTTGACATGCTTCTTTACGTTATGTGTGAAATTGTACTAAATCCGAGGCAAATATAACCAACAGTGTTACCTATTTCTGCATTTCAATGGTACCTACTAATAACTGCACCGTAAAGAAAAAGGAATTAAGGATGGATTATGATGTAACATCTCAGCAGGAGGCTCCAAACACACGTCTAGGATGAACATGAATAGCATAAACACGACCGACGTATGCAGGGCTTAAAATCCCACAAATTGTATCTTAAAGACCAACCATCTGGAATATTAGGCCCAAAATATTCCTGTAAAACGAGCCCTCTCGCTGCTGTGCACTGATATAAACCAGGTCGTGCTCTGTATCCACAATCAGTATCCAGTTTCTGCTTATGTATTCCTTGATACAAGTCAAAGCTCCATAGCAACAAGCTGGAGCCTTTTTATGGCCCCCGTGCGTATTGTGGAGCTTAATGAAATCCTGCACTTGTTCTCTCATAGATCTAAGCAATGAAACGCAGCCAGAGATTGGCCATCTCGCTGCTTAAACCTTGTTGAGCGTCAATTAATGGCAATCAAATGGATGATGGGCCTGTTTAATTTGGTAGTTAAAAGCTCTTCTATCCGTCTGAGTCTCTTATAGTTTTACTGACAGCAGAGTGGGAAACCAAAGAGAGAATTTCAAGCAATGTAATCAGAAATAAAGTCACGATATCTGTCAGTTTTGAACCCCTGAGATTTTGTGTCCAAAGTGACTGACACAATGTAAATCCGTTTTATCAAGATGCTTTAAAGTGTAACCATACATATTAAAATCCAAGCCTTCAGGTCACATCCATGTCATGTTGGAGCTTCTCTCAGCTGTGTAACCAGGAAATGGGCGTAGGTCTGCTGGCGCTGACGACAGTGCTGCTGCTCTCTCAGACGGAGGTGGGAGTCATCCCAGCAGACAGCCATCAGCTTACTTATCTTAATGTAATATTGTCAGAATTACAGTGGTCAGCAGCTTTTCATTCCAGCAAGTGTGCTCAATGACTTTATAGTGTGTCCTCTCTGGTGTAAGGTGTGCTGAACTGTGAAATTAGCCGCTTCTTTGGTTGGAATAAAGACTTGGTTCACAACGTCACATGACTGAAGAACACTGACGTAGCATGCATATGGTCTTTCCACTCACTTTTTCCAGTCATTTTCGTGACTCTGAATATCCCCTTCTAGTTGGTGACAGCCTCTTAATCTCTCCTTTATCTTCTCCCATTTCCTGTGAGGACTATTCTGTTTTTTCAGGAGTTTGGCTCATTCGTTACCTGACTCTTTAGGTGATGAGAAGATTGGTGTAAAAGTCATCTGTATTTCTAGGATATAGCTCTACGCCGCCCTTCTAATCCTTCCATTCAGTATGTTAAGTAATTGTGGGCTAAAAGCATTATTTTAAAGTGTGAAGTAAATGGAAACATGTGGACCTAAACATGTTAATATTAAGTTTGGATGATTCTTGATAAACTGATTAATTATAGATCTTTTAGAGGTGCTGGTAGGGGAATTCTGTTATCTTTATAAAGAGCCAGGTTAGCTTTTTCCCCCTTGTTTCCCGCCCTTTTGCTAAGCTACGCTAAATAGCTACTGATAGTAGCCGTCTTTTCAAAGGAAATAAATATGTTGTATAATTTTTTCACATATTAACTGTTTGTCAGAAAGTTCATAAGCATATGTCCCATTGTAATTACAATTTAACCACACATACAATGCAAGTGTTTTAATTAACATATTGTAATAATTACCCTGCAGGTGCACTGAAATGTCAGTCATTTCCCTTCTTTATATTCTCAAAGTCATCTGACAAACATTGACATTTATAAAGGTTACCCAAA